GCCGCGTCTGACAGCTCCGAGGATCGGCTTTCGCTGAGAGCACCAGTAGAACGAGGTAGCCTTTTAACTCTTGGATAATCGCAGTTCGTCGTAGCTGATGTGTGGATTGCCATGCTGGATTGCCCAGCCAGTGGATTGAGCCTCGCTCCTTTCAGATCTACATTTCAGCTTTGTGTCGCAGTGCACTCCTCGGGCCGAGATTTACAGCATGTCTCGTGCGACCCGGCTGTGGGCACCAGTGCTTGGCTTGTCTCTTTTTTGGGGCGGGGCCATTTTGGCTCGCCCCTGGTGGTGCTGGCGAGCGATCTCCTCACCATCTTCAACAACAACTGTTGTGTGCCACCAAGCTCGCGCATTCCTGGAAGATGGCTCCGCGCAGAACCCAGAAGGTCGGGGAGAAGCCGCCCTCCCGCGCTCGCACCCGCGGGAACTGCTCCTCGGCCTCCGTGGCGGGCCGCAGCAAAGGGCGCCTGCCAGCCAGAGGCCAACGTCGCAGCCGCGCGCCAACGGATGGCCAGTGCGTGACGCGGAAGCGCCGCCGGCGCAGGGGACTTCGCAACCAGGTCGCCACGGCCAGCAGGCCCGTTGTGCGGAAAGTCGAGGGCGGGAGGCGCAGGTCCTGGTGGAGCAACAGCTGCTGGCGCCTGCAGGCCGCGGGGTGCATCGGGAAGCTCTGGGCCACGCACGACGAGCAGCTGATGCTGGCTGTGCTGTAGGCCCGCACCGAGAGGCGCGAAGGTGAGCCTGACGCTCCACTCGCACGGCTCCGGCGCCACCACTTCAAGCGGGGCAGCTCCCAGACCACGTCAAGCTTGACGTGGTCCCTAGGGACACGGCATGCCCGATGAAGGCGCCCAGGAACTTGGCTTCGCCGTCGATCTGGAAGAAACCCCACCCGCACCTCATCTCGGCCAGCCTCTGGTGCAGCGCCTGTGCCAGCGCCGCGTCGCAGGCTGTCCAAAGGGGGACCATGACGTATTTCCTGGCCGCCAGGGCGAGGTTAGCCAAAGCCTGGACCTGAGAGAAGACCTCCGCCACCTGGGTAGCGCTCCATCCATCACCTGAAGAGGGTCATGGTCGCCACGTGCCGCTGCAGTAGCCTGTCCGAGCAGCTGGCGATCAGCGCTCTTCAATGAGAGGGGCCTAAGGTTGCGCGCCTCCCGCACGCAGGCATCAACCTGGTCCTCAAGCTTCGAGCCCTTCGGAACCGTGACGAAAATGGAGTAGTTGAAGTCGTGCGGGGCCACTCCCGTCATGAACATACGGATCACGAAATTGAAGAGGATGACGGTGGCGCCGCGGCTGCGCCTCCACGCCGCGCAGGGGATCCTGTCAGGGCCAGGCGCGCCGTGGGCAGCCTGGGCTGCCGCTCTGTCCAGCGCCTCCAGGCTCGGCATCGGGAGGTCCGCCGGCGGCGCCGCTTGCGCGTGCTGGTCCAGGAACGTGACGACCCCGGCATCGTCAGCGGATTGAGAAGCAAACGTTGGACCCCAGAGATCCCAGACCTCGCGGGTCATGCCCGCAGCATCGGGGACGACGCGAGCTTCGGGAGGGGCAGGAGGAGGAGGCAGAGGAGGAGGAGGAGGAGGAGGCAGAGGAGGAGGAGGAGGAGGAGGAGGAGGAGGAGGAGGAGGAGAGGAAGGAGCCAGCATGTGCCCGATGGGCCAGGCCTCGACCGTGGGCTTGATCACCTTCCCGAAGATGCTCCTGCGCGCGCGCTGCGGGACTGGTGGAGCAGGGTCGCGAGAGGAGCGGAAAGGGGCCTACAGTCGGCCCGCATCATAAGGATACGCGATAAGGATGCAAGGGCCTTGCACGCCCACTTCGAAGCTTTTCGAGCAGGGCGCGGCCGGCCAACGAAAGTGGCCAAGGACGAAACGAGGAGGCAAGGATGCAAGGATACCCTTGGGAAGGTTGCCCGTCCTTGCTATGCGGGTTGACTGTACTCCTCCTCACCACCACCCTGTCCCTGCCCCTCCTCCTGCTTCTGCCGGCGCTGAGCGGGAAGGGGCCCGGTCCTCCCCGCCACCACCCTGCCCTTCCTCCTGCTTCCGCTTGCTCTGGGCACGCGCTGGGCATTAGGCACGCGCGTGTGCATGAGCCTCGACGGTCGCGAGCTCGCGACGATGAGCAGGCAGGAGCCGTGCCGGTTGCAAGGTGGCCAGGGGAAGGCAACACCGGGAATCGAGGAGGAGAAGGAGGGAAAAGAGAAGGCATCAAGACGGACTGAATGGAGGCCAGAAGTGGATGGGAAGGGGAAGACATGAGGCCTTGCAGCTGCGGTTTGCGACGCGGCAGAAAAGGACGTCCGAGGTAGGTGAAGAAGCAGCTGAGGTCGATGAAAGAATAGTCGAACCGCCGCTCCCTTTCTGCTATGTCAAGATGAACTGTACCTCGTGCCCCCACATAAGAAATACAAGTCAGCTGAAACCGTAATGTGTGAAACATGTAGTATCCGCGAGTGTACTAGCATTGGGGAGGCCAAAAGGTACCGATACCG